CTCAGAAACAAGGTCAAAATGGAGGCCCGGCGTCATGTGACCCATCCCCCACCAACTTAAGGCATTTTTAGAATATTTGGGCATGTCATCTTCACTCATCCGTTACACGTGCACGGCCCCGGCTAGAGCCGGCGCGCGTTCGCTCGGGCTCCCAAACCCGCCCGCTCAGCACTTTTGACACGCAGCGGCACTAAAGCTGCAGTTTATGAGCGGAATCCGTGATTTCTGCCCTTTTTTTTGGACGGGCCACCATCTTGATTCTCTCCCACCAAAAAAGACGATAGATGGAATACATAGCGTCTTCTGTCTTAATATCAGAAACACGGTGTTTTTCTAACAGGAAGGGAACGTGTTAGCTCACACACACACACACACTTACACACACTCACACGTGATTTTCCTCCGGCTCTGGTTTTGGCCCGTGCGCGGCCGTGTGTCTAAATAATGGAGGAGCTTACATCCAAACACCGAGGGCTCACATGTCCGTGTTTATGCTGACCTTGAAGGAGGCGCCGCTCGTTGCCTAAAAGAAAAAAAAAAACAGGAATACCTGAATAGCTCCAGTGGCATGTGAAGACACAACACACCCACACCCACAGACACCCGCGCGGACTGGGGGGGGGGGGGGGGGGGTGGTGCTAGCAGTGGGACCGGAGCTAATTGGTGCTTTCCCAGGGACACTGGAAGTGGCGCAGCCACAGGGTTCAGGCTCCCGTGACCTTTTCACAGCTCCAGCTGACAGACGGCACAGAGCGAGGCAGATCCAGGGACCCGGGGGGGTGTATGTGTGGGGGGGGGGGGACCTGACCCGCACCGAGCCGGGGGGAAGCTTCTGCTCTCACCTGCCGCAAACGATGAGGGTCTTTTTACGGACCTGCTGTTCGCAAGAAGGAGCTCGGCGGGTCCCATCCCCCAATGTTTTTTTGCTGCCCCCTGGTGGAGGGGTTCCCCCCCCCCCAGCCACCGTGGGCGCATGGCGGAACAGCCTCATTCGGACCGCAAAAACTCTGAAAGATCGCCACGATCCAGAAAGAAAGCTAAGAGCCGCTTCTCTGTGTAGAAGTCCATGGCTCGGGTTAGGGATCCCCACGGTGGTAGGGGGCTAACGCCACAGGCAGTGGGCAGACACTAACCCCAACCCTAACCCTAACCCTAACCTTCAACACGTGCGCAGCTGTATGGAGAGGAAAGAAATGAGGGGAAATGTCAGGAAATGTCCAACAGACATTAAGACGTCTACCAACTGCTTGTATAGGACTTGAAATGAAAGTGAGACTAAAGAGTTCTAGCATATTTTACATGTCGTTTTGGTTTGTACGCAAAGAAAAGAAACACAAAACCCTAAACTATTTGCATTTTATTCTATTAGTCATTCCGTGAGTACTTTTTATAATTATAAATACAGTAACTGGCTCAGGGACTTGTGGTTATAGATCTGATAAGACCCTGTTTTGCATTTTTGGTTGAATATTTAGTTTGGAAATATTGAGAAATGTCCAACAGACATTAAGACGTCCACCAACTGCTTGTACAGGACTTGAAATGAAAGTCAGACTAAAGAGTTCTAGCATATTTTACATGTCGTTTTGGTTTGTGGGCACAGAAAAGAAACACTAAACCCTACACTGTTTCCATTCTATGCTATGAGTCATTCCGTGAGTAGTTTTTATCATTATAAATACGGTAACTGACTCAGGGACTTGTCGTTATTGATCTGACGAGACCCTGTTTAGCATTTTTGGTTGAATATTTAGTTTGGAAATAGCGAGAAGAATCACGGCAAATCCATAGGAGACAAACAGAAAGACGAGGTTTGCCTTTCAGGCCGTTTGGAGTTTGAGGTCCGTGCCTCCCCCCCCAGGATGAACGGGCAGCTTCCCGTACACATCCTGCAGCTACATTTTTACAGCGATTTTCTTTTTACCGATTGACATCCAGCACTGGGAATGACCTTTGACCTCAGCTTCGGGGTCCTTTTCTTTGCAGCTAAAATGTGATATTCTGCAGAGGAGAAGTTTGGATCTGACTCACACTATTTGTTCCAGGATATTGCGACCATATTGATTTATCTCTTGTGTTACCATGTTCTTTGCCTCCCTCTGGCTTCCGGTTTCCCTCCCGTGCGGAGCTTTTTTCCTTTTCCTTCTTTCCTCCGTCTCCCTCCCCGGCTCTGTGTGTCCCAGCTGACTGGCTGTGAGAGTGAAACGAGGCTTTTTTAACTCGAGTGTTGCACCGCGGTGACATCTTAGCTGCAACCAGGCTCCTTTCTCTCTCTCTCTTTCTCTCAACTCAAAAGGTGCCATGTTGGTCAAAAATACATTTACATCTGAGGGGCAAAGACTGTGTGACTCCCCGGTAATGAAAGGAAATGGTTTTCAGAGGACATGAGCTGCAGTTTCCATCTGAGGATGGATCTTGTTACAAATAGCAGCAGATTGGACAGACCCGATGTTCTTTTTTAAGGAACATTCAGGCTTTTTTTTGTCAGCTTTTAAGATTTTTAGAGGATTCTAAAAGTTGTGTTGACATTTGTGGTGAAAGTTCTAACAGTAAAACTGCTGGGGGTGCTCTTAATGTTCTGCTTTGGCCTCCAGCTAGCATCAGTTTTTTGTAGCCTGTGATAAATGGGGCCTGTCAGAGCAGTGGGGTCTTAACCCTATAACGCCAAATGTATCATCATTAAGACACGGGGTTGCTTAAATCTTTAGCATCTTAGACCTTTTGCATAATTTCATGTTAAAAAAAACACCGTCAGTCATACCTGATAACAGCAGGCAGAAGTCTACACCACAACAATTCGGACTTATCGTAAAGTAATAAATGATGAATATAAAACAAAATAATTCTTTTTTTTTTTCATATGTTGTTAAAGGGACAAAAAATTCTCTCAAATGTTTTCTTTGACCAGGCTTTAAAGGGTTAAAGATGAAGCTACCAAAGCAGCTTACTCCATGAAACACAATATCTGTGGTACAACATACAGTATAGACCTTTGTCTGGACATAATTTGAGCGCTTATTTTCAGTAATCTCCTGGTTCACACTGAAGACAAATACCCTGTCTTTATTATGCTACATTGATCTGTTGGACATTTTCAGTTTTTTCCTCACGAGTTCAAATATGTGATTGATTCAATAACCTAACAGCTTTTAACTACATCTCTCCTTTGCTGTGGAGCGACCAACTAAACTAAACAAGTCTTTTTTGTTCTTTCTTTTAATGCTAACGCTCATAATTTCCTTTTTAACAATGCAGGCTGTTAGTTTTTCAGAGCAATAATTGACATTTTAAATGGCTGTGGATCAAAATGACCACAGGAAATTAAATCACCGTTGCTGATCATTTGCATGACTAAAGTATCTCAGCCTTTCAAAGCTTTATTTGCTTTTAACGGTTGCTTTTAAAGGACCTCTGGCTGCGGTGGAGTTTCTCTTATGCTCACGATTTGACTCCTGATGTGATGCTACATGCTGAAAGCAGCCACGGTAGAATGCTACCAGTTCGGTAGAAGAAAGGAGCGATCCCCGTTTCGTGTTGGGAGCATGGCGTGGTGACCCCACCATCTGGATTGGCTGGGAGCTGACAGCGTCCCGTCTGTGAGGCGTCAGACTCAAGGTCAATTCTGCACCCACAGATCCTCCGCAGACCTTGTCTTTATTCAATTCAATTCAATTTTATTTATATAGCGCCACATCACAACAACAATAGTCTCACAACGCTTTCCAAACAGAGCAGGTCAGACCCTACTCTGAAGTTAATTACAGAAACCCAACAATTCCCACCATGAGCAAGCACTAGGCGACACAGGCGAGGAAAAACTTCCTTTTAACAGGCAGAAACCTCGGGCAGAACCATGGCTCAGGGTGGGCGGCCATCTGCCTCGGCCGGTTGGGGGTGACATTTAGGTGCCCTTTTTTCTCTCTCTGGAAACTGGACTCACTCTAACTGTCCCTCTCCGAGCTCGATGGCCTTTTGTCTCCAAGGACAGAAGAGGACCCCTCTGTTTTTAGTGTAGAGACGAATTCCCATTCGACTACCTTAGAAGCCAACCGTAACCGCCGTCATAAAACCAGGTTTAAGGGAAGTCTGCCAAGGAAATCATCCATCTATCCACTACATCTATCCAACAGGAGGGCCGACTTAGACCCTCTGAAACAGGCGTTTGTGCAGTCTATGTGGTCTGAAGGAAACCATGTCCTAGACGTCGCAGGTGTTTTTAAAATAGCTCAAATAAATACAGTAGATGAACTTTGTCTAAAGCATAGAAATCTGATGATGCACTGTAATTACAGGAAAAATGCTTTAGTGGTGTGGTGGGGTGTGTGTTGTGCCTGAGCTTCCGTCTAATCTGAAACACAGTGTTGGTATTTCTCCATTGATTTTGCTCCGAAGCAGCCATTCAGGCCCCAGATTTAATTAAGAATTAAACAAGGACAGCATAACAAACGCCGTCATTTTAATGAACTGAATTGTCTTTTGCAACGGCGGAACATTCGAGCCGTGCACCTCATTCTCATTTCAACCAGGTTATGGTAATGGAATTAAAAAACCCAAAGCACAACGTGGACAGCTTTTGGAGGATAAACGTGCATGCATTGGAGCTTCTCGTGACTTATAACCCCCCTGTCTTTCTGTCTGATGCAGACTGCGAGCCAGAGGAGGTGTCGGACTGGTCCTTTGATGAAAACTGTCTCTTCTGCTGTTTAAGGCGCGAGAAATACAAGGTAGGAAAACACGCTGGGTTTCTGAGACAGTGGGAAACTTCGTCTTGCACGGGTAGGTTGAAAGCTTCGGAGAGATGTTTCGTCGGAGTTTGGGTAGAATCAGGCTTTTCGCAACCCAAATGCATCCACCTTGAACTAAAACTCCACTCTGACCTTTTCTAAGAGGAATGGGGTGGCTTTGTCTGAGTGGGACAAAAGAAAATGTAACCAAGGAGAAGAGAGCATCCATTGTCTATACCTCTAACTCCTAGTAGGGAGGGTAGGTGATAGATCCCGTCCCAGATGTCATTGGATGAGAGGCAGGGTCCATCACAGGGCCACACGGAGACAACCAACCACACCCTTACAGGATATTCAGAGTCCAAACAGCCGATCCATCCGGGATCATTCCTGGGAATGAGCTTGTAAAAATCCCCATGAAATCCAAAGTAATATATTGGTGTGTCAGCACACAGAATAAAAACCAGCCTCCCCTCAGTCTCGGCTTCCTGTTTTCAAGGAATCGGCAGCAGCCTTTTTAAAATGCAAAATGCTCAGCAAAATGTTCATTGTACTAAAAGCACCCTCTTAGCGTAAGGGTTTTTTTCCCCTCATAAAGAAGGAAAAACGAGCTCATGGCTGTAGGGCAGAGGGAAGAGCAGTCAGGCTGCCGCTTGAATCCTTCATGTAGCTCATTATTCTTGGATGACTGTACACCCTTTACACACAGTACCTGCCAAGATTCATTCAATTAATCATATCTCTCAATAAAAAGGGATCGATACGTAGAGGAACTGGGCCATTTAATTCTCAAGAAACACCGTCTGAAGGTTATTTACTGAGAAAGCAAATCTGTCCATCACAGTCCGGTTGAGTTCTGTTTTATTCGGAAAAGGATCCGGAGCAGTTTCTGTTGGATTTAAGTGGGCCGTTCTGGCTCCAGACCCACCCCGGCTTCGCTGGGAGCCGGTCAGAGTGCATAACTGGGCGTGTTTCCCATCAAACAAAGGTGAGGCTGCATCAAAGTGCCTGCAGTTAATGAATAATAGTGCGACCAACCCCACTTACCCTCTCACAAGCACGTTTTTAAGCCCCGCACCGAGGTGTGTCCCTGCTTTCCTTCTTCCCTAGATTCACCAAAACGAAGCTATATGAGCCTTCCATGCGTCCCCCAGCACCTTTGGGCATGAGTCCTTTAATGAAATATGACAAAAACCAGCAGGGTGTTCTCAGTATGAAGCTTAAAGAACCTTTTCTGTGGTTAACGGTGATTGAACAAACAGAGGCGGAGGGATACTATTTTTTTATTTATTTAATCAGGACAGTGCACATTAATGAACAATCTCATATAGATTGTAAATGAGCCAGATTATAGCATAGTTGCTAGTTTACATCTGTCGTCCTGAGGCAGGAAGACCAAACAACACAAAATCACAAAATACAAAATCAGTCCAGAGACACGTTCAGACAATGACATTACAAAATTAAAATTAATTCAATTAAATTCAATTTCATTTATATAGCGCCACATCACAACAACAGTTGTCTCACAGCGCTTTCCAAACAGAGCAGGTCAGACCCTACTCTGAGGTTAATTACAGAAACCCAACAATTCCCACCATGAGCAAGCACTAGGCGACACAGGCAAGGAAAAACTTCCTTTTAACAGGCAGAAACCTCGAGCAGAACCATGGCTCAGGGTGGGCAATGAGTGAAACGTTCCTAAATATTACAGTAGAAGATGTGAAACCGTCAGGTGCTCCCAGTTTCTGCCTTGTGTGCGGCTTTGGCCCCTCAGAGGGCTAAAAGAGTGATCGGATGGACACCTTCAATACCGCCACCCCCCCCGGTCAGCCATCTGTCTCCGCTATGCTAGCAGAGGTCGTGCTGTGCGCGCGACGCAATCAGCCATACAGGCCAGATAGGAGTCTGAGATTTAACGATGTCTTTAAAAACTCAGTGAATGTAGAAATATGCCATTTGCGGGTGGGGGGCACTGGTCCAAATCCAACCCACTGACACATAGGAAGCTGATGAGTGAACAAGGGATCCAACAGAAGGATGGATGGATGGATGTGTGTGTGGATGGATGGATAAATAGAGGATAGATGGATGGATGGATATAGGATGGATGGATGTGTGGATAGATAGATAGAGGATGGATGGATGTGTGGATGGATAAATAGTGGATGGATGGATGAATGGATGGATGGGTGGATGTGTGTGTGGATGGATGGATGGATGGATGGATGAATATAAGATGGATGGATGGATGAATATAGGATGGATGGATGGATGAAAATAGGATGGATGGATGAACGGATGGATGATGAAGGAATATAGGATGGATGTATATAGGATGGATGGATGGATGAATATAGGATGGATGGATGGATGGATGGATGGAT